CCAGAGCATGTGGGCCTTATGCTGCAGGCGAGGGAGTTTGGTACTGGTCCATGAAGACACGACGGCTTGAACGAATTCCTGAAGAATAGCCTCGACTTTCTCCCTACTGAGGTAGAGGGATTTTGGGGGCTTTTGGGCCTCGTTGGCCTCTTCTTCCATCTCTCTCAGGGTGTCAGCATCATACTCTGCCTCGTCACCAGAGTCTCCAAATAGGGGCAGCAACTCGTCTTCCGCAGACTCGTCCGAAAGCTGAGTGTATTCGAGCTGTGGTACGAATCCGGACGCCAACTGGGCAAATGACTCATTGTTCGTCCGGAACAATCTCTTCATGGCACGGTTGATCTGGAGACGTGTTCCAGGCGGGATGTACTTGGGTCGCACCCAATTAAATTGTACTGAAGCATGATCTGCGGTATCGTCTTGAAGCGTGAGCAGGTCCAACTCTGAATGATGCACAGTCGCGCTTGTTGTGAACTTGTTGTTCCGTAGGTAGAGAGCGCCGTGTGTCACCGAGTTGGCGGCCACAGTAGCGGCAGCGGATGGGAGGCCATTGCCTTTGACGTTTGCTGAGATGAGCTCTGGTGCCAGCCTCCTCTTCTTCTGTGTGGGCTCAAGTGAAAGCGGTTGACCCGACGGAGAAGTCATGCTGCCTTTGGGGGCAGCTGCCAACGGAGCAGGTTTGTTCATGGTGTCCGTAGGGACCAAGGCTGCAGGCATGGCCGCCGTGTCTGTGACGTTATCGAAGACACCAGGCTGCATCCTATGCATCTCCGCATCTTCGGCCCGCTGTGTTGGTTCGGGGGTCTGGCTTTTGGCACGCTGGGCTTGAGCCTTTCTGTAGGTCGGACTGCGCTTCTTGAGAGCTGCAATCGCTTTTTTGAGTGCGAATTTGTGGATGGACTTCCTGAGTCCGAGATCAGAGAACAAGGTGTCAAGGTTTTGGAACTCATCCTCCCAGCTGAGCAGGACCTCTCCATCTACCTCATGAAGTCTCAGGGACCGGGTAAGAGCTTCAGCATCCGGTCTCTTTGCAGGGTTCAGCGAGCCCCAGAAACTTCCCTCACGGCCTAATTCGGAGGCGAGTCTTTCGACGTCCCACTCGTAGGGATCATCATCATTGGAGTCGCGCATGGTCACGAGCTCAGACAGCCATAGGCATGATGCATCTAGACGAATTGGATGGCCTGATGTGGAAGACGTGGCTTGACAGTCGTGACATGAGAAGCTGATGCTTGTTAGCAAGACTATTTTGAAAGGCATTTTCTTTGTGCAGAGTGCGAGGTAATCCGATTAGGGGTCAGGAAGGTGCCAGAAAGAGGGAAAGTGCGGAAACGCCGTTCTCACCATCGCAAGCCCGCCGCTTTGCAATGGAAGACAGCAACGCCAAAGGAGCGGAGAAGAAGGAACAACAAACCATTCATTGAAACGACTGCAGTAAGAGAAGTCTTCTCCGCTGGTGTGGGTTGAAGATGCGGAGGGTGGCCTTTTTATAGCGCTGTGAGACTTACAAAGAGCCTTCCTTCACAAGGTCTGGTGCTGATGAAGGCAGTCGCGGCGTATTGAGAGAATACCGACAGCTTTCTGTGCCAATGGTGTATAGAAAAGAAGATAACGGTGCAGAAGAAAACAAGGAGAGCTTGATAACGACAGAGAATACTGAGCAACAAGTACGAATCGTCAGGTACTTGTCGTCTTGTGAGACCTCGAAGTTGTCTCAATGTGGGGGAGTGGGTGTGGGTGGGACAAGCCGGGACGCGATGGCACCGCGACGATTCCTACGGCTACAGCTACAGCGTGAGAGTCCGTCGCGGAAAGGTCGAGAAAGCACGTGATCTACGTCCCTCGCCTGGGGTGGTGAATGCGAACATCCCAGCTCCACATGAATCGTAAACAAGCACTCGTCCTCATCGACTCGGGACGACACTCGTGTGCAGTGCCGGGCTGTCATCTTTGTAGGTTGTTACCATGACATTGATTGTTTCCAGCCTGTCATGCCCGGCTTCAGAACCTGGACAGATGCACCCTTGACGGAGACATGGACTGAAGCTCTAGAATGCCTGCCTGCCTATCTACGTACCCATACCTCACCTAGCCTAGGTATGACTTAGTTGCTAATGGGCCACCACTACATGAGCTCGATTTCCAACTCAACCTGTGCTCGCGCCCAGTTTGTTTGTCACAGCAGCCACTCCGTCCGATACATCGTGGCCACTGCAATCTAACAGGATTTTCTCCATAGTCCTAGCGGCGCCATGATGCGCGTACCTGAAAGCACAGACAGCCTCGAGCCAGGCGAATGGCCAGCACCGGGAAAACCATCGCCGCCGAAGCCGGTGGGGATGGTGCAACACTGTTCACACGGGCCCTGTTTGGCCTGAACCCGTATTCCCCGCGCAACAGTAGACTCACCGAACGGTGACCGCTGGGTAGGTAGGGAACAAGCATAGGAGACCCGCGCGCAGAGAGGTAGGTGCTGACCAGGCCGCGCCGTTGGACCGCCAGGCCAAAGCTCCTGTGAAACGCCCGTCCCGTCTGTGGGCTGTACTCTCGAGCACCGTCCACCACCATCAACGAACCCTCCCATCGCCTGCGTCCCCTCGCTCCCAAAAGCCCCTCTGGCATTGGTCCAGATGCCAAGCGTTTCCAAACATGGGACCAGGCGACACAGTGGTCGAGGTCGACCGTTTGACAACTTGGGACCAGCTCGCTGTCAGGCAAAATGACGGGTCTCGTCGTCGCAATAAAGATGGCATGGCCTCCCTCGACTGCTGAGCGGGTCAACTTGCGTGTCTAGGCATTGCTCGCTCCTGAGGTTTTTTCCTTCTCACACGATTTGCACCTTCTGTCGGCCCTGCCTTCGTCATGGCCATCATTCGTTCTCCCGCGGTGGAGATCACCGAAGCGGTGAGGCGTCGGAGCAACCGTCTCGTTGTCCCTCGTCAGGGACCAGGCTCGGGCAAAGGTGACTCGTCCTCTGGCGGGTCAGACCGAGGCGGCGGAGGGGATGGGAAGGGGAAGGGGAAGGGAGGTGGTGATCGAAACAATGGTGATAAGGGACAGGGTGGAAAAGACGGAAACAGAGGGAATGGGGGCGGCGACGGCAGAGGTCAGGGCAAAGGGAATGGGCAGGGAAATGGGCAGGGAAACGGTCAAGAAAAAGGCAATGGCCAAGGCAATGGTCGAGGCAACGGCGAGGGCAACGGTCAAGGCAAAGGAAATGGTCGAGGCAAGGGGAAAGAAAGGCAAAGGGAACAACCATCGGCCAAACAGCCAGAGCCGGCTCTACCTTTTCTTCCTCCCCCCTCTCTTCCTCCGCCATCACCTCCTCCGTCATCACCTCCTCCTCCATCGCCTCCTCCTCCATCACCTCCTTCTCCATCGCCGCCACCACCACCAGCACTACCATCGCCATCGAACGAACCCTCATCGCCCCCCTCAACTACTGATGAGCCCACAACGACTCCGCCTCCGCCTCCTCCTCCTCCCCCCGCGTCTTCTCCTTCGCCGCCTCCTACGACCTCTTTGGAAGAGACGACGACATCGACAACGACCTCGTCCGACGTGGAAACCGCACGCACGACTACATCAACACCGCGATTGTCCCGTGTGCCGCTTCCAAGCACTTTACCCATCGCCCAGCAGCCCGTTGAGCCTCCTTCACGGCTGCCAATCATTGGGACGTTGACGCCTCTCCCGCCTCGGTCCACATCGTCGACCGCAAGCCCTACGTCGCTTGATGAACTGCTATCCCCGCCATTCGAGGGCACTCCTGTCACCGGTACCGCGAGACCGGATGCGATGATGCCATCGCCGACAGGTGGCGCAACGGCAGGCTCTGCTTCAGCCACTGGAGGTCTCAATTCTGGTCAGAAAGCCGGAATCGCCATTGGTAGCATTGGTACGTACATGTCCTCCAGCGTATTGGAGGGCTTTCAACTTACACATCACTAGCCGGTGCTGCCTTGGTGGCCATGTTTCTGGTCTTTCTTGTCCGATGGCGGAAACGCAGGTCCGAACGCTACATAGACTTGGAGCCCAGACCGCCGACCCGGCCCCCAAGCTGGACATGGCCCTTTGTCCGGCCTCTAACACTTCTCCGGGCGTCGCTTGCGCCCGAGCCTCGTGTCGATGATAGGCCAGTCTTTCGGGCACAAGGTGTGGCGGAGGAACCACCGATGCTTCCGCTCCCCGTGCCGGCCAAGATCAGAGACAACTCGGGCTGGGACTGGGACTGGGAGTCTTCCTCCGTCTTTTCCTTTCCACGTGCGTCAATGCCCTGGCTCACCAAGGACGAAGTGCGGGAAAAGAATCAGATGCCCGTACCAGACTTGCCGGTGGTCGAGCCTGAGTCGCCAGGAAGCTCCATATACTCTTCCCCCAGAGCCTCGATTTGGGAGCGTGGCCGGTTGCACCCTTTGCTGTTGAATCCGGTCAAGCATTTTCGAAGCTCAAAGTAGACAGACGGCACGGGAGGCATGTGGGCGAATTATTTACACCTAATGATTACGATGGATGAAACTGGCACGCGTGGCTGCGAGGTCATGATTATATTTAAACTGTTCGACTGGTTCGGTTCTCGACCGACAGTGCCATGTATACTAGAAAATAAGAACTCCAGAACACACCCCAGCATGCTGTAGGATGCGATGCTGTATTTCACCGCCGGAAACACGTTAGTGGGTCGCAAACCTAATAAAACAAGTGATGCTCAGTGCCGACTTGGGCTTGACACAAGAGCCGAAAAGGTACCTCTTCACCCCACCATCGTACGCCAAATGGTTGGTAACGGAAAGACGACATTATTAATCACTCAGTTCTTCTCGACTATGGCGAATGCTGTACCACTGCAACACACCTCACCTCTACCAACACCCTACATACCACGAAGCCAACCTCAGTAGACAGTTCATCATATAGCGGGAAACAGCAGTGGTTCACAACTTGGCGCCTTCTGAGACCGATCGACCTCACATCCCCCCTTCGCGTGCATCCCCAGCACAATGGCACCTGCAGCCCTCACGGCGGAGCAGTACCCGCCATCTCTCAAACAGGCAGAAAGGGATGATCTCGTCCAGACCATCAAGGACTGGTCGATCGGGCATGGCCTTGCCGTGCGGCCCCAGCCGTCCGTTGTCTCGAGCGACGTCGACCCCAAGAGCATGCTCGCCATCAATGTGCCTGTTACGCTCTTCCCGAGCCCCTTCCCCAGGCAATGCTTCGAGCAGGCGAGGACGGTGCAGAAGACGTACAACGAGCTCTATGCCGCCATCAGCAGGGATGAGGAGTTCCTCGCTGATGCCGTGAAGGAGTGAGTCGCATTCCCACCCCCACGACCTGCACTGCGACAAGACGCCTTGCGGTGTGCCGTCAACCCAAAATCAACAGCACGCATGGCTTACACACGACAGGGTCCGAGACGGAGATGAGTTTACGACGAGCCTGTGGGACATCCACCTCAAGGTCAAGGAAGAAGGCTACACGCAAGTATGTTGGCCATGGATCGTGTCGTGTTTCAGCCGCTGACCCTCCTGCCCGGCTGCAGAACCTGTCCCTTGGCCTGTTCAGGTCAGACTACCTGGTTCACCAAGACGAAGAAGGTCAGCGCCAAGTGAAGCAGGTCGAGTTCAACACGATCGCAGCCTCTTTTGGCGGCCTGTCGTCCCAGACGAGCCTCCTCCACAAGTACTCCTACCACTGACCCCTCCCCACATCCTCCCTGATGGCGTCCTGACCAGACGACAGATTCTTGGCCTCTGCCGAATACCCCCTCCTCGAGAAAGCCATCCCTACAGGCACGCTCGATCTGCCGGAGAACGACAGCGCCAGGGGCCTCGCGGCAGGTATACGCGCGGCGCACGATGCGTACGGCGCATCCGAGCTCGGCCATGAGCGCTGCGTCCTCTTCATCGTGCAAGACGGCGAGCGCAACGTCTTTGACCAGCGGCACATCGAGTACGCGCTGACAGAGACGGCATCGCCGATCCGCGTCTTCCGGCTGCCGTCCTCGCAGATCCTGCAGCACACGACTGTTGCCGACACGGCCAAGCGCCAGCTCCTCTACCACCTGCCCCGCAACGCATCGCGGGTCTTTGAGGTGTCGGTCGCCTACCTCCGCTTCGGCTACGGGCCGGACGACTACCCCGACCAGCGAGCGTGGGACGCGCGCCACCACCTCGAGAGGTCGGCGGCCATCAAGTGCCCCACGATCCTCAGCCAGGTGGCCGGCACGAAGAAGGTGCAGCAGGTGCTCGCGACGCCCCCGCCGGCGTCGGGCGCGGCGCCTTCGATCCTCGGCCGCTTCCTCCCCGACGACGGCGCGACGACGGCGGCCGTGCGGCGGACCTTCACCAACATGTTCCCCATGGACACGTCGGCGGCGGGCCTCGAGGCGCGGCGGCGCGCGCGCGACCCGCGGCTGTGCCTCGACTACGTGCTCAAGCCGCAGCGCGAGGGCGGCGGCAACAACCACTACCGCGGCGACATTCCGGCGTTCCTCGACGCGACGCCCGAGGCGGGCTGGGGCGCGTACATTCTCATGGAGCTCATCACGCCGCCGCGCCAGGCCAACGTCATCCTGCGCAACGGCGCGCTCGAGGCCGGCGGCGTCGTCTGCGAGCTCGGCATCTACGGCACGTGCCTGTGGGACCAGGCGACGGGCGCCGTCCTGCGCAACGAGGAGGCCGGCTGCCTGCTGCGCACCAAGGGGGACACGAGCAACGAGGGCGGCGTGGCGGCCGGGTTTGGGTGCATGGACAGCCCGAGCTTGGTGTAGGTCTGCTGGCTGTCCATTCATGCTGCCTCCTAGACAGTGGCTGCCTCATTAGACAATGCAAGGGTCACGATGGATCAACTTGAAGATAGAATTCACCGTTGCCGCTCACAGAGCTTTCCAGATCAATCAAAAGGTCCACACATCAAGCGAGGGAGAGAGAGACCATCATTACAACACAGCGGACAGCCGGATATTCAGTGTGGTATCAAATCACCCCTTCTAAGCGAGGATGTCCGTACACCAACCAGCCAACGGCCCCCTATCGTCCGATGACAGCCCCAAAAGTAACAGAGAAAAACAAAGGAGATGGTAGCACAGTGTCGGAGCGGAGAGAAGCTCGATCATACAGGGTCAGATGGCGACAAGGGGGGGCGGGGGCGGTTCTACAGCATGATGTCCGTACACGGGACCAGCGTCTTTACTCGCTGGGCGCGGTGCCGGTCGAGGGGCGCTTGAGGACCTCAATGTTGCCTGTGACATGTCGTGGTTAGCACCTTGTGTGATATATAATCTATATATATAGGGCCCTTGACAGCTTGCTCATCGGACGTACGCTGGATGATGTTGAGGGAACTCCTGGTCTTGCCCTCGGCGTCCTGGTAGGTGCTCATGGAGGCGTCGCCCTCGACAAAGACGAGAGATCTGGGCACACACAAAAAAAGACGCGGTCAGTCACGTTCGAGCGGCGTCGAGAGAAGGAGGAGAACGGTGGGGGAAACGCACCCCTTGGGCAGGCTCTGGAGGTAGTCGCGGCGGGGGCCGGGCTGCTCGAAGCTGGCGACGCGGAACCAGCTCGTCTGGCGGTTGTCCTTGGGGCCCGAGTTGCTGGCGACGGCGTACTTGAGGACCTCGCGGCCGGTGCTCGTGGCCTGGAGCTCGGGCGTGTCGGCGAGGTTGCCGACGATGGTGATGCGGGCGACGCCGCGCGACGAGGTCGTGCTGAAGGTGCGGGCGGCCATGCGCGGCGCGGCGAGGGCGGGGCGGAGGAAGGCAGACATGATGGGCAGATTTTTCGTTTCTTTGGGGGCGATAGATGTTGGATGGTGAAGATGGGAAGCGGCGGGAGCTGGAGGAGGGCGGGAGATGGGATGCGATGAGCGGTTGCTTCGTTGTCGAAAGAGGGGAAATGTTCAAATTCATGCGCCAGGGTCAAGGTGCTGAAGATGCCGTCGCGTTTGGGACGCGGTCAGGGGTTCCCTTGGGACCTGGCTCGTGCGCAAGGGTTGAGTCTATGCATTCAAGGCTGTATGCGTTAAAGGGTAACATGGGACAAAACGTTATATGCCACAAAAGGATATGGTGCAAAAAGGCATTTCCCGATTGGGGCCTGAATAAGACGACTCCTCCACAGCTCCAAACCTTCGTTCGACGCTGCCACGAGCATGACAACAGCGGTTCCGAGCTCTGCATCCTATCTGTCATCTTTCAGGCATGCCCACGCGTCCATGCTCCCATCAACCGTGCATCTGGCCGGCAATGCAAGATGAAGAGTCACCGTGCGTCGATGGCTCCCGCAGGCTGCAGACGGCATCGCGGCAGATCACTGCAGGAGACAAGCAACGCAAAGGTCCCTCGGTGGCTGGGGCAAACCCAATCCCATACAGCCCTTAGCCGACCGGCGGCCGTGCAAGGAATGGCAGCGCTACTTGTAGTCGAGCCGTCATCCGTTTCGGCCCCGGGCCAGGAGGCCTGGCCCGAGCCTTGTCCCGATTTCGGTCTGAATAGAGGCCCTGAATAGCTTCATCGTCTCGGATACGACACGGTCTTGGCCGCGAGCGGCTACGCCCATCTCGCGCGCCGCCGTCTTTCTTCTTCACCTGCCTCTTGTCGTCACCTTTGCCACTTGTCCTCACGGCGAAGCTGCTGTGCTTTCTTATTTGCGTCGGGGCACTGGCGCTCGATACATCATGTTCGCGCCCCTGCCGTCGCATCTCGCTGCTCTGTTTCTGTGCCTGCCTCGTTCTGCCTCGCGCCCGGGGTTTCGGTCAGCCGCGCTATTGAGCGTCGCCGGGCTTTATTGGGACGTATTGCTCCATGGACCGAGGGGTCGACCACCCGCCAGCAATGACACTGTTGACAGGAGCCTCGTCATAAGATCCTGCTGCCCTGCCCTCTCGGCCCTCTATCCTGTCTCGTAGTCATGGAACTCTTCCTCGTCCCAGCCTGCCTTCTTTGACGAACTAGTCTGAAGTCTTTGGTCTCTTCACCCTCGTTCGATTACAGCACTGCGTAAATCGGTGCCACCACATCTTTCTCCCCCTCCGATCACCAACCCATCCTGCGTACCTGTTCCTCAAAGAAAGACGGACACTCGTCTGGGTGTGACCCGAGAAGCATCTTGGCTGCTCCACGAGAAACACACGTACACCGGCAAAAGGCCGTTGCTTGATCTCGCTATCGAGCGCATCTCGTCACCGCCGCTTCGATGGCACCCGTCGCCGAAATGGCCGCCGCGGCCCAGACGCTGGTCCTCTCTCCGTTCCCCGTGCCGGACGACGTCTCTCCAACCTCTCTCACAGCGAACCTAGTCTGCCGGGTCGTTTTCGGTCTTCTCAACAACCTCATTTGTCTGGTTCCCCTCCGGCTGCTCTGGCGGAATGGCGAGTTCTCCGCCGTTGTCTTCATCATCGACGTCATGTGCCTCAACATGCTGACCGTCATCAACGCCCTCCTCTGGCGCAATGACGATACGACCCAGTGGTGGGCCGGCTACGGCTGGTGTGACCTGCACGCTTTTCTCTACGTACCTCTCATGTGTCTCTACTCGACCTCGTGCTTGGCCATCAGTCGCAACCTCTCCGACCAAGTCAACATGCTGCGCGCGAACCCCCTGACCCACAGGGAAAAGCGGAAGAAGAACCTCATCCAGGCTCTCATCATGTTCCCGATCCCCCTCATCCAGATGGCGTGGATCTATCCGTTGACGGCCCAGCGATACATCATCATCACCCTCGTGGGCTGCGACTGGAGGGTCCATGGCAGCTGGCCTTACTTTGTATTCTTTCTGCTGCCCGCGCCTCTTCTTGCGCTGGTCTCGGCCTTTTATTCGAGTACGTCCCCGTGGCCTTGGCGTCTTCTCTCTCTCTCATCATACGGAACAAAACGTCTAACGGAACTAGTTTTGACCTTCAAACGATATCGCGAGCTTCGAAGAGGCATGCAGAATGCACTGTCGTCCAACAGCTCGGCCTCTTCGCGTCAGAACCGCACCAGGCGCAGGCTCTACTTCATGACCATCTCCGTCCTCATCCCCTACCTGCCCCTGCAGCTGGCGCACGCTGTCCTCAACGGCCTCAGCAGTTTTCCTCTGCAGCCCTTTGACTTCCACAAGATCCGCTACGAGGCCGCCCCGTTTCCCTGGGACTCGATCGTCTTCATGCCCTCCACTCAGGTCCCGTGGATCTTCCTCAACAACAAGTACATTCCGATCCTGACGACCGTCGTCATCTTCATCTACTTTGGCATCACCGTCGACGCCCGCCGCATGTATCGCCATGCCGTGCTCGCCATGGGCCTCGGCTCCATGTTTCCACATCTGCACCACAGCGATGGCTACAACGTCAGCGACCAAAGCGGCAGCCGCAGCGGCACCGGCTCGTGGGGCGCGCGAACGTAAGTTGTCCTCGTACACGGTGTGGACCTTCCGATGCCTGTTCACAGTATTGACGCCCTCTTCTCATCCACAGTGACACCACGACGACCAGCACTCTCAAGCCCAGCCTGCGTGCAACCACACGCCAGCTGAGCCACCACAGCAACAGCAGCCCCTCCAGCAGCGCCGCCCGCAACAGCCACCCGTCGCACAGCCTGCCCGACCTCATCATGCCCATCGACGTCGAAGCAGCAGCAGCAGCAGCAGCAGAAGAAACACCCCCTCGCGTCCCGTCTCCCGCACCACCAAGACAACCGCACCGCAACCCCTTTCTGTTCCGCACGAGCCTCGTCTTACCGACACTCCCGCTGCCGCGATTCCTCGCCCGCGTCCGCGCCCGCCCGCACCGATATGAACCCCGGTCCTCCTCGTCTCACATGGCCCTCCAGCCGCTGCCTGCCGACGCAGCCCCCCGCAGCGCCGGCTCGGACGTGAGCCTCGCGTACCTGCCCCCCCAGAACCGCGAGCGCACAGCCACGCGCGTGTGGTCGGACGACGACGGCGAGGACGCTGCCGGCGCCCAGCACGCCGGCAGGCTCAACGGTGCCGAGGAGGCGCGGGCCGTCACGGTCGAGACGTCCATCTCCATGCATGCGCGGTGATGGAGCCTCCAGTCCAAGTCTGTAGATGATTCGATTGGCCGATTGGGGCCGCGAGAAGGGTCAATTTCTTTTCTCGTGACGTGAGTAAAAAAACAGGGAGGGGGGCCACGAAGCTTGCTGGATGAGAAGAAGAAGAAGAAGAAGAAGAAGACGCACGGCGCCTTGGTAGTAGGGGAAAGAGTTTCCAGACGTTCAACTTGTGTTCATTCTGGCGTCCGCTTTTGCTTCTAGCGACTTTGTCCTTGCTTGAACCCCCCCCTCTCCCCGGTCGATGGACTGAGGGGGGGCACTTTTGTCTTTGTTTTCACGACCTGCCATTTTCATGCCAGGGCGGTGTTCTGCCCTCTAGCGAATTGAATAGTGCATCAGCATGCTGGCGTTTCATGTCTTGTTGCCTCGCTGCTCATGTTTCGCTCGTGTCCCATTTGTTGAAGTTTCTCGCTGGTGGGCCTCATGCTCGCGACTTTGGCGCTGTCAAAGGTGACACCTCCGGATCAGCTGCCGATTATGGACTACTGGTCATGGACTGGTGGTCATGGACTGGTGGTCATGGACTGGTGGTCATGGACTGGTGGTCATGGACTGGTGGTCATGGACTGGTGGTCACAACATCATCCCATCCACCGTATACGGCCAAGTCTGAACCCAAGGCCGACAAGGCCAGCACTGTATTCAATAGAAACCCTGTATATGCAAAGACACCTCGCAGTCGAGCCGAACACGCCGATGCATCCACCGACAACGTACAACAGCCATGCACCTCTCCCCTCCCTCGACTGCCAAAGCCAGAACCCGGACGCCGCGCCATGCCTTGGTATAAAGTGGCGAGTATGAGCAAACAACTGGATATCTACCCCGCGAGAGAACCCAGGTCGTGAAAAACGTAAACGTTTCGTGGGATGCCGAGGCGCCCCCTTCCCATGTGGACAATTAAAACAACATATAACATGAATAGGATCTGTGAAGCGGAGGGCAAAGGAAAAAGAAAAAGGCAGTGCCCTGCAAACGTGCTCACGCCGTCACGGCTGTTGGTGGCTCCATGGGCATCACGCCAGTCGCCGAGGCGCCGGGGGTGCTGGGTGCCGCGGCGACCTCGGGGTCTGATATTTGTATGTCCAGCTATGTCATGTCAGTCGGCATCTCGGGCGAAGAGGGGAATCGTGCTGACTCACAGTCATGTAGCCCGTCCGTCGGAGGGGAATGAGCTTGGGGGCCGAAGCCCCCTCGTACGCTCCGGCCGTCTTCTCGATTTCCTTGTTCCACTGGTCCATCCAGTTCTCCAGCCTCGTGAGGCGTGCCTTGACCCCCGTCAGGCCAAAGTCATCCCACAGCCAGCCTGTGACGAGTCCGAGCATGCTGTCGACGATATTCCTCCAGTCATAGGGGTTAAAGATGGGAATCAGTTCGCCGTTGAGCTTTTCAATGACGCGGCGAAACTCCTGCTCCGACAAGCCAGCTGGATCCAGGATTTCCGGGTAGAGGTTGGAAAAGGTCGGCGCGAGGTCGCCCTCGATGAGCCAGTCCCTGCGAACGCGGATGATACGCGTGTTTTGGTATTCGGGAGAGTCAACAGGTACGTGTGGGTTGAGATGGGGATAGCATGGGTGCTGCGGGCCCCATTCTTCGCCCATGTCGCCGACCTCCTCGCCCATGATGGACGAGTCTGAGGACATGGCAGACCCGATACCATCGCCGGCCGAGAGATTGGAGTGGCGGCGAGGGTCCATAATGTCGGGGCCCCGCTCGAGGTCCCTCGAGTAGCCCCTCTGCTGTTCGTCTGGTTGCGGTGTCATAATGGCCTTGCCTTTGCCCTTGTCGACCTCTTGGGGTTGGAGGGAGCCGGGCGATGCCTGCTCGGGATCGACTGGCGAAGGGTTGGAGCTCGTTGCTCCTCTCTTTTCGTCGTACGAGTGGCGCACGGACCGGGGCAGGCTGATACGGTGATCGCTGTTGCCGCGGTGGTCAAATTGGAGACTGCCGCGTCCAGAGCCGGAACGACGGGATTGTCGGAGTTCGGGTAGTGTGAGCAGGGGATAGTGGCCTGCACCGGTGCTGACGGGGTCGGCAGGATCGGTCGAGTTGTCGAGAGCGGGATGGGATAGCGGGACGTTGGCAGGGGGCGGCGTCGAGGGTCGCCGTCGCCTCTGCTTGTTTTCAGTGGGACGTCGCGGTGTCGAGTTTGTCGGGTTCCATAGGCGGGCGGCGCCGGACAGACGACGAAGGCGGCGAGGCGTGGCAGAGGCTTTGCTGAGGAAGGGCGATTGAACAAAGGGTTCGTGGGGGATGTAGGCGGCACCGCGTGTAGACTCGAAGCGGCGGTGGACAGGAGCGGTGGGTGCGGGAGGCGACGGCAAGGTGGAAGCGCCGGGGTACACGGGGGGCTGACGATGGGAGAGGGTGGTCAGGCGCGGATTGGCGAATGCATCTATGGTGGACGACGGGATGGGGTCTGGAACTTGTCTCGCGTGGGAAGCCGTGGGAAAGGCGAGGGGGGGCGAGCCGCCGAAGAGACGGTCCCGTCGCAGGCTTGTGGTGATGGTGGAAGTGGGTGAGGGAGCGGGAGGCGAGGAAGGGGACGGTTGGGGTGCTCAGCAGGTCGGCGTCGCGTTCGAAGACTCTGCACCACAGTCTCGAGGGATGCCGCGGCGGTGATGGGGGGTGGTGCGTCGGGGTGGATTGAATGAGCCAGATCCTCGGACGGCAGTGATAGGAGGAAGGGCCGCTGGCGTCGCGCGGAAGCGAGATGGGACGCAGCTGCAAGGGCGAGCGGGAAGAGAGATCGTCGCTCCTGTTGGTCGTGGGCGGCGAGGTGGTCGTGAGGGTGGTACCAGTAGGCGTCGCCCAAAAAGGAGTGGCCGGCGGGTTCAGGTAGTGCTGTGCCTGTACTCGTGCCCGTGCTTGTGCCTGTGCCTGTGCCTCTGGCTTTGACTCCGGCTCCGACTGTGCCTTTGATGGGTGTTGGGGGTTCTGCAGGTTTTGTGGGGGTGTCGCCAAAATGGGAAACCTCGGATTGCTGGAGCGGGTGGTGGGCGGTTGGCAGAGTCTCACGAGTGGATGGGTCCGAATCGCACGTTGAAAGGAGTTGCGAGGTTAGTGTCGATGTCGATGTCGGTGTCGGTGTCGGTGATGGGCGTGTTTGTGGGTGATGAAAAAAAGAAGTTGGACAGCAGCAGCAGCAGGAGGAGGAACAGGAGCAAGACGGAAACCTGGACAAAGACCTAGACCGGGACCTGGACCGGGACCTGGACTGGGACCTGGCGCGGCAGCTGGGGCCGTTGGTGATGAGCGCCCGTGTGACGAGGTTTGGGCTCGAGCTTGAGGCAGGAGCAGCAGCAACAGCAGCAGCAGGTGCAGGTGCTGCCGTGGTGGTAGGAGCAGCAGCAGCGACGGCAGTGGCAGCGGTGGGAGTAGTGGCAGGGGCAGGTGCAGACACGGGTGTCCAGGCAGGTGCAGCCGTCTCGGTGCAGCGGCCGTCACCGTTGCAGTGGCAGGGGCGGCTTCTTGGTTGAATTAGGGGGACTGCCGAGAGCGGTCTAGCGGCGAGCGCATCGAGTCCCAGCATTCTGGTCCCTCCCCGGTCCTTCAGCTCGCTTCCGTCGGTGCGCCTTCAGGGCCGGCCTGGTACCCCCCCCCCGAGGCAGGTAAGGTCGCTCGTCGGCGTGGAGAGTGGGATGACTGTGATCAAAAGGAGGCAATGAACCAAAGTGTGAGAGGCAAGCTAGGCAGCCAGTGGACGAAAGGGTGGAAAAGCTTGGGAACAGCAGCCCTGCTTATGGATATATAACGACGGGACAAGGGGGAAGGGGGGGGGAGGGGGCCAGGGGACGAAGGGCAGGAAAGAAAGAAGGCTTGACCACTTTTAGGCGTTTTCTTTCTTGTTTGCTCGCCGTTGCATCTGCACTTGCATGGCTCCAGCTCCTCTTCTTCTTCTTCTTCTTCTTCTTCTTCCTCCTCCACTTCCAGCTCCTGGCGCGCCAGCGCTGTAACGGTCTGGCCGATCTGGCGTGTGTGTGTGGTTCGTCTGGCAGTCTTGACAGTCTTTTTTTGGGCAGGCTGGCGGCACTATGGATGAGGCACTGCAAGGGCAGACATGCGTGTCTGAGCGCGCGCGAGCTTGTTACAGGCTCACGCAATGGATGGTTGCCCGCAGGAAGAGCGCGATGAGTCGTCGTTGTGGGGAAAGGGAAAAGCAATCAAGAGAGGCACGCCGTCGTTGAGTGGACGCCCTTCGCAACCAGTCGGGAGCCCAAGTCCATATATCGACGGGTTCCGTGGTTCGCCACCGTCCACGGACGAGAACGCACGACTGCGCGACTACGAAACTGCCGTCGCTCGTGGCGGCAAACAGGGCGATCCTGGAGAGCGCAGTACCGAGTGTCAAGGAACGTGGCAGACGTGTCACCAAGGCCCTTTTGGGCCGAAATTGCCCATGAACGAACAATCCCTTTTGGGATTTCCAGTGACCCCCTTCTCATCATGGGCATGCAGGTAGGTCGGTGCTAGTCAGGGGTTGCTGTATCATCAGATCGGCAAATCTGGTAGGGCTCAATCGGCCTTGGAGTTGGGACGGAAGCCGAACCAAACCGAACGCAGTAGACTGTAGCATACAGAGCTGCATCCTGGTCTCGAGGCACCCGGCAAGTCGCTGGTCCGGGTCGGTCGAAAGAAGAGGTCCATCGAGCGGTGTCCAGAAATCTCTTCCGCGCGAGAGCCGCTCATGTCGACGCGCCCCGAATCTCACCTTCCCATCGCTACCTCTAGGCTTCAATGTCATGGCGGGCGGAGCGGGGGGGAGCAGGCAACATGCGCACCAACCGTCTGTGCGTTCAAAGCCGCATAAAAGTTGGAATTGGAGGAATTTCGAGGGCTTGACAACGCGCCAGCCCTGCTCGTCGTCTGGTCTCCGGATCTGCCGGTTGATAGGACGCGCTGTGCTCGTTATCGTGTCAAGCTACAAACGATGTCAGGCTACAGACGAAAGAATAGCATGAGCATTGCCGTTGCAACGTCAGGATTCGATGCATAACAAAAGGGTTGGTCGTCATGGATGAGATGCAACCCGGGGAACCATGCATTCTGTGGCCTGCAGCCCTTGTCCCTTGAAGCCATCTCCAGAAGTCCATTCTCGGCTACAGTTCAGCCTTTCACTAGCGTCTCAACCCAGGCAGGCATGTTTCTGATGCGCGCATCTTGGAAGAAAAGAGAGTGCGTTGAGTGATTGCGGTGGGCCACCTCTGGGGGCCTCCCACCACAGTGATCTGATCGACAGATGTGCCACGACATGCCAGACGGCCATGGTTTGTGTTGAGTGGCGTGGCTCGCTCGATACACTGACTGATGCAGGTGCCATGGTTTTACCTGCCCGCCGACCTGCCTCGTGGGGCCGAGGATTAATCAGCGGTAAGCAGGCCCTACCCTCCCCTCCACCTTGCGTTGAGGAGCGGAGGAAGCGACCCAGGAGCCGGCCATCTGATCTTTCCCCGCGGGGACGGAGAGGTGACGTGATCCTCCACTCGTCACCTTTATACAGGACCTAGGGTAGGTAGGTAGGTAGGTACCTTACCTACCAGGCCAGGTAAGGAGGCTCCTGCATCGCATCGACCCAAGGGTCAAGAAGGCACCTAGGGATAGGCAAAGCCAACACAACTCTATCTCGAGCTCAGCACCGAAGACCCATGGCCTCAACGTTGCACCGTCCTCTGCTGTAGACCATTGGGTTCATCCAGCTGCGCAAAACATGGCTGTCACCCCGGGCAAAAAGGCACGACGTCAGCTCCAGTTCCGTCCATCAATGAGGGGCCGGATTCAAGCTGAAGCTACCTATCTACCTAGGTAGCTAGCTGGCTGGCTAACTACCTCCAGCTGAGTTGGCAGCCCATGCTACGCATCATGACAGGCTCATCACGCTCCATCACTTGCCACAGCCCTTCTTTTTCCAATCTGGTACAACACACGCACACGCACGCACACACACAACGGACTACTGAGACAGCGACATTCCGCCCCCGCTCGGCGCCAGCGACTCTGACTTCCTGCCCATCATCATCACCCTGCCATTGTCAGATGTACCCACCCCTACACCTGCCACGGCTCTCCCAGCCAGGCAACCCTTCCGCCGGCCTCGTCCTCCCGTCTTCGAAGCTGATGCGGCCACTGTGCACGCGACAAACGTGACCCGCCATCACCAAGTCATGTCCGACGACAGTCCCCCGCGCGCGCGGCCGCCGCCGCCGACTCTTCCCAACATGACGAACACGACGACGGTCAAGTCGCCGCCGCCGCCGCACAACGGCCACGCCATCCGTCGCGCGAACACCATCGACGAGTCCTACCGCCGCCCACGATCCTCCTTCACGTCGGCCGCCGCCACCGCTTCGGGCCCCTATGACGTCCCCCGCAGGAGAGACTCGACCCTCTCCGACTACAGCCTGGGCGACGCCGGCGATCTCTTCAACCCAAAACCCCTCGGCCACCAGCCCTCGGCCGAAGACGGTTCCAAGTGGACGCACTTGCCCATCGCCTTTGCCCTGCTGCCCGCTGTCGGAGGCATCCTCTTCCAGAATGGCAGTGCCATCGTGACGGACGTCATGCTGCTGGGCTTGTCCGCCGTCTTCCTACACTGGTCCGTGACGCAGCCGTGGTGAGTCTACACCCTTCCCCCTTTGGCACGACATGATCGCTTGAAAGATACTATAACGTGAGCTGACCCTTTCACCAGGAGCTGGTACCATTCCGCGCAAGAAGTACGTCTCCACGAGGAGCTGAGTTCATCCCTCGCGGTCGACGACGAGAGCGATCCCGACCCCACAAGCGAAACCGAGCCCGCGGACGCGTCTTCCGCCGAAACCAAGCCTGAGGCCAAACGACGAACATCGACAGACGCGACATCGGATGCTCTCGCCGAGCTGTATCTGCACGAGGTCCTCGCCTTGGCTTCGTGCTTCTTCTTCCCCATACTGGGAGCCTACCTCCTCCACACCATTCGGGCGCAGCTCAGTCGACCGTCCGAGGGCCTCGTCTCCAACTACAACCTGTCCATCTTCCTCCTGGCTGCCGAGCTGCGTCCCATGTCCCACATGATCAGACTCGTCCAGTCGCGCACACTGCGACTCCAGCGTTACGTCCACGAGAACCCCTACAGTCAGGTCGCCGCCAACAGCACTCACATCGCCACGCTGCAAGAGAGGATCGAGGCGCTCGAAGCACGCCCACCATCAGCAACAACATCGGGCACGTCGCAAAAACAGCAGCAGAATGGCGCCGCCGAACAGAAGCAGCAGCAAGCCGCCCTCTCGCGCGATGTCCGCAACGCGATCCAGCCCGAGCTCGACGCCCTCAACCGCGCTGTGCGCCGCTACGAGAAGAAGGCCACGGTACTCGCCATGCAGACCGAGTCCCGCTTTGCCATGCTCGACGCGCGCCTCAGCGACGCCCTCGCCCTCGCCGCCGCCGCCGCCAAGAACAGCGCCGCCCAGCCCAGCCTGCTGCGCTGGCTCACCGAGTCGGCCTGGAACCTGTGCTTGCTGCCGTTTCGCGCGCTGACGTCGGTTCTTTTACTGCCCTTCAGGACGCTGCTCGGACTGCTGAAGCGCCAGAAGCGGGTGCCGGACAAGATGTCGCGGTCAGCCAGGTCGGTACGGCCATCGTCGGGCCAGTCGCGCTCCGGTAGCGATAGGCCATTGAGCCGGCTGTCCCGGAGGTAACCTGGAAGCTATATAGACAGCACGGCATGTTTCTCTGGTGTGCACGGCGTTCTTTTCCACATGTCGGCAGCCGGGGAGGGGACTCGGTTTTGATACCAGGACAGTAAAGACGAGACGGAAGTGACTACGATTGGTGGTCTATAGCATATTAAACCTGATGCAATAATCTTTATCCCCGTTTTCTTTCAACAGCATCCCTCTGACGAGGTGGCACGTGATTGATTGCGAAATTTCAATTAGTGAACACCTGATCGTCAGTGGAAAGAAGAGAGAAGGACGGATGCCCAGTGACGACTTTGTTCAACCGGCTGGAATGCGCATTCTGTCCTCGGCAGGCATACTGTGAGACAGGCAACGCGGTTGAGTTCAATAGGCATGGCAATGTTTCCCGGCCACCTTATTCAGTCAGATGGGTGTTACAAGGAACGCGGGACGTCGTGAACCATCGACGGCTCCCGACCTCCGCCGCCCATGCTTGTCGCAGACTGCGGCACAGGCGGACGAGGCAAGGAGAACGAAAAAGGAGGCCTTTGGCTGCCCTCTCTTCCCAGACGAGGCCGGCCTCGACCGTTTCAGACGAAGACCGACAAACACTTGAGCGACTCCTTGATCCGCACGACGAGGATGAGTTTTTGCAGGGGGCGATTTTCGATCGATCTTGAGATCGCCATCTGTCTGCCGTCCCCTATTCCCAAGCTGGTTTAGGTATCTACTGCCCTTACATCTCCCAGAAAGCTGTAAGGTGCTCTTTCCCTGAGACCAGGGGGTTGTAAGATAGCATCTTGTCCAGTTGTCCCCTTGACTCTCTCGGAACGGCGACTATGTTCGAGGCGTTCTGTAAGACCAGAAGCCCCTGACA